ATTACTGTAGATTGAAGGTTCATTTTTGACTTAAATAGCAGCTAAAAGAACATTCTCTCCACCAGGCCCATTTTAGATTTTTATTTTCTGAGCACTTTCCAGTGTCACTGTTTACAATGTGAGCGTCTCCAATGTCCTAAAGTACTTAGTGAAGAAATCAGTTTGTGTGTTTATTCATAACATGATATTTTGCTGAAGTGAAAACAGATCTTAGAGTTTTGCATTTCAGCTGTTACTTTCGTGATCAGCATCATCAGCATCCAGATGGACCTAGATTTTGGTGATGCTAAATATTAGGTGCAGGAACGTCACCCTTTAAAAACAGTGAATTATTCAGCATTTTTGTTTATCAAGTTTACTGCATTATGTACTGTCTGTCCTCAGTCTAATTGATGGCTGTGCCTGTTGTGGTATTTTACATGATTAAATGTTTTTTAGTGCTTTCCAATTAAATAAGCAGTTAAATGTAAAATTATGTCTTTATTTTCTATCAGACAAACATTTTCAGGTTACCACAGCTGCTGTTCCCAACAAAAACTCCACATCATGTTATGAATTTGTGCTTTTATTTGGTAGGTTGTGTCTATTCTTTTTACTTTCTGCTGTATTGTTGTCTGTGCAGTGCTACTTGGCATGTGGGCTTTGTTTTGACAAAGGAAGTTTTATTTTGCTTTTTAGTCTATGAGAGCAGGGAATGGAAAGATGTTTATTCTACCCTGTATCTTTGTATATTATTTGTAACTGAATGGATATTGTAATAATGTTGTAAGCTTACTTGCAGTTGGCGGTGAAACATGTGCACGAGGACACAGTGGCTCAGTGGGGCACTCTGGTGATATTTACCTGCGTTTTCACTTACACAGTTGTTGTTTGCAAATTTGGGTCAGATTTTTTACTACTTCAGTTGCTTTAAATTAAATTGTTTATTTACCTTTATTTAAATTGGTTATCTTTGTCAGTGTGGCACTGAGGTTCCCCTGGAGATTTTGCTGTTAAAGAAGGTGGCTGGGACTTTCAGAGGAGTGGTGCAGCTGTTGGACTGGCGGAAGTGTGTGGACAGCTGGTTGATGGTGATGGAGCGTCCTGAGCCTGCTCAGGACCTTTTGATTACATCACAGAGCACGGTGCACTGGATGAGGCGGTGGCTCACGGCTTCTTCCTGCAGGTTCTGTTACACCTGCAGCATTGTCCACAGAGACATCAAGGATGAGAACCTGCTGGTAGTTACAGTCCTGGGAAATCCATGCATTCTGTCCAGTTCCTTACTTAAAAATGCCTGTTTGGTCTAGCATATTGATCAAAGAGAGCTTTTTGTTTGTAATGAAAGAACACACGTCCCTACCGATATTTATGGGTGCCTTGCCAGCAGGGGCACACGTGCAAATACTTGTTCTAAGGTGTAAGTTGGCCCTAAACACCTTAAAGATACATTATCTAATGATATAGCTGATCTAGATGAAATTGCCCTTGCTTCCAATGAAGCAGTCAATTTGGGGGTCATCTTTGATCCTGATTTGTCCTTTGATTCACTTATAACTGTGAGCAAGCCCTTTGGCGACTGTGGAGAGGAAACACCTCTGGGAGAAACCTCTGGCAGAACCAGACTCGGTGTGGGTGGCCATCTGCCACGACCGGTTGGGGTGAGTGGAGAAAAATGGGGGAGAGAAGGTGGGTGGCAATGAGGGAGTAGAATAGAGAGAGAGATGGGGTGGTGGGGTCAAGGGAGGAGAGATGGAGCTCAAGAAAATCATATGTGAACTCTATAATTCTGATTATTGTAGTGAAAGTAATTACAGGTCTCATGTTAAAAATGTCTTCCTGTAAAAATAAGTTTAAGCAGTGATTTAAAGATCGGTATTGAGTTTGCAAGCCTAATCTGATAGAGCAGGGAGTTCCAGAGCCTTGGGGCCGTGACGGATAATGCCAGGTCACCTTGAGTGGCCAGCCAATAGAGATAGGCTGGCCGATCTCTGGTTACCACAGAGATTCAAGAGCTGTGAAATGTAAAAAGGTAAAAAATGGCCACTTAAAGGGCCTTTTGTGGGGTTTGACTTATTTTTAGGGTCCTGGTTACATTCGGTCATAGACACTTCGGCTAGAAGTGAGACCTTATAAAATTCCTCCAGCCCTACCTCCTGTCATACACAAGTCAAGTCCTGCATTAGGGGTGGCTGTGGCTCAGTTGGTAGAGCGGTTGTTCACCAATCGGAAGGTTGGTGGTTTAATCCCTGGCCCCTGCAGTCTACATGTCAAAGTGTCCTTGGGCAAGATACTGAACCCCCAGTTGCCCCAGGTGGTCTGGCCATCGGCGTGTGAATGCGATACTGATGGCACTTTGTACAGTAGCCTCGGCCACCAGCGTATGAATGTGTGTGTGAAAGGGGTGAATGTGACTTGAGTATAAAGTGCTTTGAGTGGTTGCAAAGACTAGAAAGGCGCTATACAAATTAGTCCTGTTTTGGGTGTTTTCTGCTCAGGAAGTATTATTATCCAAAAACACCAGCTGTTACTCTTAGGACCTGCAGCCCTTGCTAACAGACAGCACAATCGCTCTGCGCACTCACTCTGAAATGCTGTACATCTCTGATTCACCTTACTGTTTTATGCTGACATATATGATATTTTTTCTAAATCTAACCCTAACCCAGGGAGCGTCATCCTGGAGGAAGGACAAAGCAACCCCTGCCACCTTTTACAGGAGACGGGCTCAGTTCCCCTATCCTAAGCCTAACCAGCTGCTCCCATGCCTAAACTTTACCAGTTGATCCCATGCCTAATCCTAACCCTAACTCTAAACCCAACCCTGCTACTATCAACAAGGGGTTCTGCCCATGTTCCCTGTTTTATCTTAGCACACTGCTCGGCTAATCCAGGGAACAGCCAAAGAATGGAGCCTTCAGTGCCAATCATAACTGTATCCCAATTTGCAACAAATGGCTAAATCATGACATAATGTTCCTGACTGAAGTATTATTATGATGAACTTTTACAACAGCAGCACCATCCACAGCCTCTTCACCACCTGCATCCAACCCTTTCAGAAACCCACACAGAAAGAGATTTTGGCCAATACTGCAGTTCACACTTTTGACTAACCAGATGGAGACCAAATCGAAACATATACACATCATTGTTGACAAAACAGACCCACCACTGCCAACTGTAATATTACAGATGAACTATTTTTTATTTGTGATATCAAAAGCGTATAAAAACACTCACATTAACCCTAACGAATTTTCTAATTAATAACTTACAAAACACAGCAAACAATAAACAAAAACTTGGAATGTACACACACACACAGGGGAAATAACTACAAAAATACACACAAAAAACACATTGCCCCTATCCAACTAACTAAACACACACACAAGTGCTACCACTGCCAGCAGTGCTAATACACTAAACCCACTAAACCCCATTCAGAGTTTTGTCTGAGTCAGTCATCCTCACTGGTTCTGGGTCTTTTTGGTGAAAAACTCAGCCTCGCCGTTATTTGGGATGCCCTCCTCTTCTTTTTCAGGGTGGTCTTGATTGTTTTCACCAAGATAGTCCTCTAGATAGGTTGTCCTCCTAGGACAACTTGTGCTTTACTCCCTCCCTCTTTGTATTGAAAACCTTGACTTGGAGGTCCTTCGCATCTGAGGACAATGAATATTTGGATGAAGAATTACATACAGTAGGTCACATCATTTCAGTCTTTCAATGGTCACATACCATCACATGTATGTTGATTTGTGTTTGTTATTCACCTTGGATCTCAAGCTTGGTGTACATGTAGTGAAAAAACGTGCACTGGAGAGGAGACAGCTTTTCCTGGTACAGATGCGTTGTCCCATGTACGGGAGCTGGACATCAAAGGACTGGAGTCTGGGCTAGACATTGGGGGGGGGGTCGATGTCCAACTCATCTGAGTCTGTGCTGGGGGGGCTGGCTGCAGCGGTCTCATCATGGTGAGGGGCTGCACAGAGGCTGCATGAGATGTGCTGGGGGAGACAGCAAGAGGATCTGGTGGTGATGGACTGGTCCCTATGGCAAACTGGACAGGAGCGAACTGTTGTCGCGTGACACGCCCCAACATGTGTTTCAACACAAATTCACTGACCAACATTCTATCTACATAAAACATCAACTACATAAAAGAGCTTACATATATTACTTTTAAATAGCCAAATGTTACACTTTAAAAACTAACTGGATAAAGTTGATGACAATAATAACACATATTTTAGTTCATTAGATATATTATTAGCTGTATATTTGCTATATATTGTTGTGTGTCTTTTTCACTCTACAATATCAATAATCCTGCAAATTGTGAAACCAAGCTATTTACTCTGACAATAATTCATATTCACACAGGCAAATACGTATACATATTATAAGACAAAGTTTGGGTTAGGGGTGAATTCAGTGGTTTTACTTTATTTGGATCACCTTCTACATTTTACAGCAATGCTCAAGACATGAAATTTATACATAGGCCCCTGTTTTTAACAACGTTAAAAATGTGTTACTTCATAGTTTTGATTATGGTGTTCTTCGACAGTTTACAAGAGTCAAAATAAAGTTGAATTAAGTTACCCTGTCTAATCTTGTAATTTTAATGGAGTTCTCTAATTCACTTCAGTGTCACATGTTCAATTGAGTTCAACAGCTTCTTAACAGGTCCCTCCAACGTCCTCATGCACCACCACAAAGTCAATCTTATCTCATCTCATCAAGTTACATGAGTTTCCATCCACACAAGTGCATTTTTCACTGAAATATCATTTCAACACGCATCCTGACAACAATTTGTTATCACTTATATGTCAGCGTATAGCATACCTGTCATACAGCTTTAGTTGCTGTCAGACAGTGTAGCATCAAAGGCAGATACCTGTTTACAGTGTGGCAATAGAGGCAGCTGCCTCTAAACATTGTGACAACAAAGGCAGGTCACTTTACATATCAGTGGCAGTTTCGGTTGACATCGGAAACCTGAATGCAACACTGCCTTAGCGTCGCTCACGCCAAAGAAAACTCTAACCGTTACTTTGGCTCTGCTCTCTTGAAGAATATATATAGCACCCGCTTTCACAACCTTATCCTCACGTCAGAAAGAAAAAGCCACAAATTGAGTCAAAATGGTGAGTTTTCATTGTTGAAACACTGTGGAAAAGAAAAGGAAAGACGTAGTAAAAATTATGTAATGTCAAAAATGGGTGTTTGCACAATGAAAGGCACATGTGTCGATACATTTCACACATTATAAAAGATAGAGAGGGGAGAGGGAAGGGAGAGTAGATCACGCCACAAACCATAACCAGAGGCTTGGGTTTCCCCATATAAATTACCTTTAATACCAAAGCAAATATCTATATTAATTCATTTTTTTATACCAATTACATTAAATTAATAAGACTCTTAAATATCCTTCAGGGTCTGAGTGCAGGTTGTCATTTCAAGTGTCCTGATGGTAAAAAATTAGACCCAGTTGGTTTCAAAAGTTTTCAGTTTTTGACTTAACTGCTGATATCTTTAATTAAGCCATTATTTAACAGGGTTTGAGCTGGTGACTGACCTTTCTTTCCCCCTTTGTCTCTACAGCGCGAATGTATCTCTATTCATATCGGCCAAGCCGGAACCCAAATGGGAAATGCATGCTGGGAGCTCTATTGCCTTGAGCATGGCATCCAACCTGATGGTCAGATGCCTAACAGCAAAACCATGGGCGGAGGTGATGACTCCTTCAACACTTTCTTCAGTGAGACTGGAGCTGGGAAACATGTTCCCAGAGCAGTTTTCATTGACCTGGAGCCAACAGTCATCGGTAAACAACTTAAAGGAGGAACTTTTAATTAGAACTCTAATGAAAAGTAATTAAGCAGAGGCTCATTGAATTAAAACTAATAGAATGTGAATTTCTCTTAAAGATTAATAAGAATGTTATGTTTATATATTGAAGAGCAGATACAGTTTAGATGCAATTTATTATATAATAAGTGAGGAATTTCCTACTCAAATACAACTAGGAAAATGTTGTTCCATTAAACGCTCAGTGTGTAAGATTTAGGTGAAAGGGATCTATTGGCAGCAATTTAATGTAGAATAATCCTCATGATGTTGTCACTATTTTGTTGTATGAATTGTAGTTTTCTTTACCCTAGAAAAAGCTCTTTATATTTACTTCAAGAGGACCCTCTCTATGGAGGCAGCCATGTTTTTTACATTAGTCCAGACTAGACAAACTAAACACCTTTTGAGTTTTTATGACAACTGAAGGCTGCCACGGGTTCTTTTTCATGTTTGGAAGGAGAGGGTGAGGTGAGGGGTGTTCAGCTGCAATATGCAATTTCAAAACTAGATATCTCCAAATTCTACACACTGTACCTTTAACCCTTAGTATGTAGAGGTGTTAAAACAAAAGCAGCTCTTTAGCACCTACAAACAATTGAACAAGACTGAAGTATTTTTTCTTGTTGCTACTCAGATGAAGTGCGAACTGGTACGTACCGGCAGCTCTTCCACCCCGAGCAGCTGATAACTGGAAAGGAAGACGCAGCCAATAACTACGCTCGTGGTCACTACACTGTTGGAAAGGATATCATCGACCTGGTTCTGGATAGGACTCGTAAACTGGTGAGCTCATTCTCATGTGTTAAATGTGTAGCATTTTCAATTCAGAAATCACCAGTTTTTAATCAACCATGTGTTTCCTGCAGGCTGACCAGTGCACAGGGCTCCAGGGTTTCCTCATCTTCCATTCCTTTGGAGGAGGAACTGGCTCAGGCTTCACCTCTCTGTTGATGGAGCGTCTCTCTGTCGACTACGGCAAAAAGTCCAAGCTTGAGTTTGCGGTTTACCCAGCTCCTCAGGTGTCTACAGCCGTGGTGGAGCCCTACAACTCCATCCTGACAACCCACACCACCCTGGAGCACTCTGACTGTGCCTTCATGGTGGATAACGAGGCCCTCTATGACATCTGCCGCAGGAACCTGGATATCAGTCAACCCTCCTACACCAACCTCAACAGGCTGATTGGACAGATCGTCTCCTCCATCACCGCCTCCTTGCGCTTCGACGGCGCCCTGAATGTCGACCTGACCGAGTTCCAGACCAACCTGGTGCCCTACCCTCGTATCCACTTCCCTCTGGTCACCTATGCCCCAGTTATCTCTGCAGAGAAGGCCTATCATGAGCAGCTTTCTGTGGCTGACATCACAAACGCCTGCTTCGAGCCATCCAATCAAATGGTGAAATGCGACCCTCGTCATGGTAAGTACATGGCCTGCTGTCTCCTGTATCGTGGAGATGTGGTGCCCAAAGATGTCAACTCTGCCATTGCCACCATCAAGACCAAGCGTGCCATCCAGTTTGTGGACTGGTGTCCCACAGGCTTCAAGGTGGGCATCAACTACCAGCCCCCCACTGTGGTTCCTCATGGAGACCTGGCCAAAGTGCAGAGGGCCGTGTGCATGCTGAGCAACACCACCGCCATCGCAGAGGCCTGGGCTCGACTGGACCACAAGTTCGACCTCATGTACGCTAAGAGGGCCTTTGTCCATTGGTACGTCGGAGAGGGAATGGAGGAGGGAGAGTTCTCTGAGGCCAGAGAGGACATGGCCGCCCTGGAGAAGGATTACGAAGAGGTTGGCAGCGACTCCATTGACGATGAAGGAGAGGAAGAGGAGGACGAATATTAGATTAGAAATTAAACCATCACTGACAGAGTAATTTCTGTGTCAGTACGTTTCGAACTGTTGGACAATGCATTATCTCTTAGACATGATGAGATAAATGTAAAACAGTGCACAACTTTCATCTCTGCTTGAAGATTTTCATGATTTAATGATCATTTTCATCATTGATTAATCTTCAGATTTTTTTCTTTCCCTACTCTTTATTCTAATCTTATCTATCTTCAATGTCATTTTGTTTTACAAAAGAAATGTTCGAAAGAATAATAAACCAATGCGAACAACTAACTAGTACGATTATTTTTGTGTTGTGCTCCAGGAGGCTACTCAATCTTATTTTGTATCATTTCAGCAATTACCAATCACTTATCCTCCATCCTTTTTTTGCTACTTACAGGAGGCCAAGTTAGGGGGTTCGCGTTAGGTGAGTGAAATATCCAGGAACCTAAGGTCCCATCCAGGGACTTAAGGGGCTCCTGACTAATTATTCTAGTCCCAAGGATGCCTGTGGGGGTTGGGAATGAGCTGGAATCAGAATGATTTTACAATGTCATTTAGCTCAGGCTTTTATCCAAAGCGACTTACAATTACAATTAGGCCAACTGCTCTACACCCTCAGCTTTAACCTTCCTAATGATAACAGTCAACCATAAGGCTTTGATTGTACAGGTGACGTTTGAGATTTGTGATGCAATTAGTGGATGAGCTGGAGCTGTAACCGCCGTTGTCACGTTGGATACATGGCTGTAGCCAAATTGTATTTTGAATCCTGTTCTTCTTGTGCTATGTATTGATGGGTTGGCAGTACCCAAGCGCAAGCTTTTCAGGCTGTGCTCCCCTCTCATTGATTAAGTCAAACAGGTCCTGACACATTGGTAGTCGCTCCAGCACCAACAGGAAGCCCTGCCCCTCCACCTCAAACCAGTCCAGCATGGAGATGACTACTGTGTGACCTTTGACCACTGACAGCTGCACCAGCAGAGCTATCTCCATGGGAAAAAGGCTTCCGTCACTGGGTTGAGGGGGAGGAATATTTATCATCATCATCATCATCATCATCATCATCATCATCATCGTCATCATCACTGTCATAAAATTGTCACTTAGAGAAAATCCCACAGTCCGAACAGGCCTGTGACATCACAGGTTAAACACCTGCAGCTGTAATTAACCTGAGAGCCCAGCAGAGGGCAGAGCTTCTACTGTATCAATATTTTTTTCACTAAGCTTTTCCTTTTGTCCTGAATATCACAACATTTCACTATAATGCACGTAATATAATGAAATACTTAATCAATAATCAATAAGATAATAACTCACCAGTCTGTCCCAATGTAGAACGCTGTCCCTGAAAATCGTCTTAATGGCAACCTGCACAGATATAAAAGGGAAATGGTGTTTTAAAATGTAATGAAGCATCCAGTGTAAAAACAGCCTTAGCTTTGACATCAAATCTACTTGCATCTAATTAATTTACATAAAGTTCCTGCTGTAAACTTTTAAACACTGCTTCACTGTTATATTTTAAATAAATATACACCTAATTATTTAATCTTCTTTTTCTTTTTTTGTTTGTGTATTAAATTTTCCTTTCTGACTGGCCATACATGTGTTTCCCTCTCTTTCCCTCAGTTGTTGCGTAGTTGTATATACATTGATGTGGTGTTGCTGTGTAGTAGTTGTTCTCACCATATTTCCCACTCTTCCTCGGTTGTTGTTGTGTAGTACTTTTTCTCATTGTGTCTCCCTCTCTCTTCCTCTTGTGTTGTTTTGTAGTGTTGTTGTCATCGTGTTCACCTCTCTCTCCCTCCTCATCGAAATCCACCTCCCGTGTCCCTCCACCAGTTTCGGTATCACATCATCACAAACGTATCAAGATTCTCATCAACGGCACCGTCTGTTCCACTTGTAGATGCTACAAGGGCCACTCCCACTCAGATCAATGCTGTCCAATCAGCACCGAGACATGTGCTCGGTGTTTTGAGGCATCCATCAGTTTGGCTCTCATTTGCATACTGGCCTTTCAGTCTCACCAGTTTGTAAACAGCAGTTTTATTATAAACAGCTTTTTGTTTCACAGGTTTAAACACTGAACCTGACATCCGAGCTGACATGTTAACAACTAAACAACCACATCTTTTTTTAATTCCTCAATAATTAATAATTTTTATTTCAATCGTGTGTTTTAATGTTTCAAAAACATCTGTTTCATCTGCAGTAAATACTAATTACTCCTGCCTAAGATCATTGTAGTACTTGTTGAGTCATCTTGGATTGTATTTATTTGGTTTAGTGCCACCACCTCAGGATGTAAAATATTGTATTACAGGAGAAGGCCACTGTGTCATGTATCACTTATTTCCTTACTGTTCTTTTACAGCTTTCTGACCCTGATACATTAAATTCAATGAAAGAAAACCCCTTTTCGGATCCGGCTGTATTTAGCGATGGAGATGGCACTGGAACACAGAAAGTCAATGCGTTGAAAAATCTTAATGTTGATTCTCTAATGTTGTTTTGACAGAATGTTTTTCTTCCATTCTTTATTATTTCCTCTCTTTTCTTACCATATGCATTAAAACAAAGTTGGAAATGCTTTAGTATTATAATATTATTTGTTTGTTTTCACAGCTTGCATCTGAAATT